CGACAAAGATTATTGCCCATTAATGTTTAATGATGGTTTCAACAGTTTTTCCCGCTGAAATTATCACAAAATAATCAAAACACAAAAATATTTTTGCTGATTTTTTTCTTTTCCATGTTTGATAAGTATTTAAAATTGCCCAGCAAGTTCTGCAGCAATTGAAGGAAACTTTTCAACTTACTATTTGGTTAGGTCCAAATTTTGGAACGATTTGGATGAAGAAAAGGTGGAGAAATTAGTCAAAGTTTATAAACGCCTTAGAAAAACTTTAACAGATCTGTAATACAGTTTTAATTTTCACTTAAAGTATAACATTTTTATAATGTTCTTTAAGAAACCATGTTGTAGATCAAAAAGCTTACAATTTATGTTTGAAATCTTTATGATATAAATTTTAAAAATGTTAAATTCTTATGAAACAATATTTTAGAAATTAGATTGTAACATTTATATTTGCAAAAAATATTTCATAGCGAGTTTTATTGTTTTTTTTAATGGGTTTTATGAAAATCTGGGAGGGTTATTTTAGGGGAAAATCGTACCAACCCTGTCATTAAATGAGAGAAGAGACAAATTGTTTAAAAAAGACAAAAATTTTCATTTGAAAACTCAATGCTAATAATTTCATTCTTACTATTTTAAGTTAATTGAAGGGGTATCTGCAAGAAGACCCTCTGCCACAATTTTTTGAAAACAGTGTCATGGAAGAACCTCTCTGATGTTAAGCATCTATATAGTTTTTAATACAATGGTCCATGCCATGAATACATTACAATAGAGGTGGAAATCAGAGTGTTCTTAGATCATATGCAGTTTGTTCTAATGCTTCCAGTCTAGTGGATCCAGTCTAGCCAAATGCCTAGTCCACCCAACAAGAAAGCCGAAGTCAGTTTCAGCTGATATTATTACCAGAACCCAAATTCCAGATGGTTTGAATATTAGAATCCACACCAAGTTCTTAATTGGGCTCTTCAAAAATTTAGAAAAAAGCATATCTATCCCAAACCTTTTAAATTTATCTTGTAATATAATTAATTCAAAACAATTCATCTATGTTACAATGAATTCTTCTAAAAACAATGTTATCTCTGATCACTGTATAAAATTTAATGACATCATGGATTGGGGAGGGGTCAAGACTTTGGACCATGAAGATTATTTCAGGTGCATCTCCAAACCCCTCTTCCTACTTAAGCTTTCCTTCAATTTTCAGAATGACATGAGGAAACAAAATTTACCATTTCATTATATAAAGTTAGTTTTTTCTTGATATTATACTTTACTAATATATTCTCTGCCTCTATGTGGCCAGCAATTATGATAGTTTCTGTAATGCGGTTACATGCACACAGTTTGGGTGAGTTATAGTGTATGTTCACATATCCACAGTAATCTCAAAATGTGTTCCTCAAACTTGTGATTTCTGTTATACTAAATATTTGATATGTACACGAGTTGGCATATAACTTCTTTAGATAATAGTCCTTGGGCCTTCCACATTTTTCGAAAGTTTTATGTATTCAGTTAAAAATAACTATCCCACTTGTGTCAAGTACTTCAAACAGTAACTCACTTTTGGATTGTATATATCAGCTGAATGATTTAATATGTACTGTAATATTTTTCATCATGCAAGGCGTTACATGATTTATTTATCTACAATTTTCTTTCTAATGAAAAAGCAAAATTGTAAATACCTCTTCTTGCTAATCTTGTATCAGAATCAGTATCAACAAATAATTTCATGTGAAATAATTCACGAATTTCAGGGAAGAAGAAGACCAAAATTCCTTCAAACAGAACCACATCAGCAGGATAAATAGTCTGGAACTGAGTTTCACTTCTGAAAGAAAAAAATATATATAATAAGGTTTAATGAATTTGGCAACTTTGCAAACAGCAGCAACATCTGCTGTATCTCACTCACAACAAATATCTACATATACCAAGCATATACACGGTCTATTGTTAAACGCGCAACCCATGCCTGGAAAAACCACCTCTTGGTTTTTCAATTTGGCAACACCTGAAATGCCTTTGGCATCTCTTCCACTTTTAGTGACCCACGGTATTTTTAATAATTTTATTAAGGCTTTCTTATTTGCTTAATAATCAGATTCAATAATAATAAATTATTATTGTTATAAGTAATGAAGGGCTCTTGGCAGTAATGTTAATGTAATATCTTTCCGATTTCTCTCTGAGCTGAACTTCATTAAATAATAATTATTGTTACATTGGTGTTAATACATTGATAAACTATCATAACTTCCCTCCACATCTTGAGTATTACAGAGTCTTGAGTAATCTTGAGTAATGCAGATACCTATTATACCTACGCAATAGAAGGTTGCTTGAAGTTACCTGCTGCACAGATGTCTTGAATTACAAATGCTGTATCAGTAACACAAATACCAACTACAATACTTACTTACTAACTACATTATTATCTACTCTTTACATAATACACTAAGGATCAGATTTGGCAATTTAAAAGAAATCAAAACAAAACCCGGAAAGTTTCAGACCTGTTTTACACGGAATTACATCCATCCTGCGTCCAACAGACTTAAAATGGAAAGAAGAGGGGAACAAAATAACAGAAGTTTGTAGATTGAACAATGCAGCTTTTCATCTCCATCTAAATACATGCACATACTTTTACTTGCCACTGAATTATTTCAATCTCATTTTTAAAATGAAAGAATAAGTGGAGAATCAGTTATCAACTACAAGAATTAGGTCATCCCATCTGAAAATATAATTTTAATGCATTCTGCTTTGTGGAGGTATTAAGGATAATTAGAACAAGTGACATCTTGTAATTTACATAACAAAAAATTTCCAACAAAGGGAACTTTCGTTATATACATAACTTTAAAGCTGTCTACTAATAGGTCTAGTTTGGGTAAGAGGCACTGCTTCTTCAAGTTTGTGAAGCCATACAGGTACCAACGTATTTGTTTCACGTAGTGATTTTTATTTTAAAACATATTTATTTATTTCAAGTTTTCATTTGCTTCAAACCCACTGTGTCTTTATAAAAAAATTAATTTAAAAAACATTCCTAATAAAAAATCCTGTACTGCAACAAAATTCCAGGATTCAATATACGTTTAATTGAAATGATTTTTAGCCAATAACATTCTATTGGAAATTTACATTAACACAAAACAAACACCGATAACATTTAATTTACATTCACGTGTATATTAACAGTGTCAAAAGTGTTAGAATATCGAGTCTCAGACTAGAGGAACAGCAACTTACCCCAAAAGAATTTGCTATGATTTACACTGAATCAGACAGAGCCTGGGCATGCTATATTTACATTGCTGCTGCAATAATCTAAACAATATTATTATAATTAGCACAACATATTTACAGCAATAAGACTTGCCTTGAATTTGTTCTGTAATCATACAGAGGAATCTCGCATTTTTTGCCAGCAAGAATGTCTTTCAATGTCCGAAGAATCAATTCTTCATTAAATGCGTCTGTAACAAAATTAATTTTACCAATGGCAACATTATTCACACAAACAATTACGGTAAAAACATACTATATCTTACAAACCTGGATGATCAAAATTGAATTGTCCCTTTTCAGCTTTCCCTTTTTCTGCAGAGGATAATTCCCTATAAAAACTATCTTGACTTATACACACTACCTGCCTTTCCGCGTGGTCTTTATCCACCTGTCCAAGTTTCTCCATGATTCGCTTGCATACAGTCGACTAGGAGGAATCCCAAAATTTTCATTATGCAAGATAATAAATAAAGGGCAACATATCAATAAGGATTTGCTTACCTTTCCACTTGCAGTACCTCCTGCAACACCTATCAAGAATGGAGTTTTTCCTTCGCCGTTCAGTTTCCCATTAAAACGACATCCTGTCTCACTAAATTTTCGAACTTCTGAAACCGGTTGGCCGGCCATACTCTTGTGCGTTAAATGACAACGTAAACAAACAAAGAATTGTTCGTAACCCAGCTATTCAAGAAGAAACTCACGTCTTCAACATCAAAGCATACCGCAACTTCGATTGCATGGTACACAGAGCCGTCGCGGCAATAACCTACAGTTAATACTAAACTATTACGTTCTCCCTAGTTCTACGATTGTTTCCTATTTAACTGACATAACCAGTAAGAGCACCCCCTGAGCTCACGGCTTCTAACAATGACTCCACCACCGACCACCACACTTCAATACGGAACCTGACGGAAATTAGAATCCCAGCGGAATCCTATCCCTGGTCCCATTCCCATCCGGTCTCATTGATTGCACGCACGAACGCCGAACTGGAAAGCACGAGAGGGCATTCGGAAACAATCGTTACGGACCGAATACTTACGAACGGAGCATGCGGTTGTTTTGAAATTACTTTCGTGTCTACTGTTTTTACTTTCCCGTATACAGACGTACTAGCGTTCCCGTGCGTATAGACTTGCATGTTAAACCCCACCGTAAGAGTATCGTGAAACTGAAACATGAGATCATGTCAGTTTTATCGTAATTGCCTCCACAATTGCCGTGTACAGCCCTTGTAAACGGCAAAACGTTAAATGAATGGTTGCACTACAAGCATAAGAAACAATCTTCAATGGTATCAAGCAACTATTAATAGTACTTCTAGTTGTTGCTGCGAGATCGAATCTTGAATTAATAGTTATGCAAACAAACCTCGTCAGTCCGCGCAAATCACGGTTTTCACAAACAGCGTAAATAGTATAAGATAGAGGAATGTTAACCTTCTTAGCTTTATGTCACAAATATGGCCACCATCATCAAGAATTTAAATATAGGTGGCACTGATAGTTCAGGTAATTGCCGATCCGCCAAAAAACTAATAGAATGCCCAAGAATATCTAATTTTATAGATTGCAATATGAGAAATGTTTCTTTTGTGAGACCGTTGGCTTCAAAAATTTAGCTTTGAAGACCCTAGAACGCTTTGTTTAGAAGTTATTTAACGATATAGCTGACTGAGTGTTGCGGATTGCTTTTGATTTGAATATTTAGATGCGTGTTATAACCAAATCCTTCATATTTGTAAAGTCAATCATTCGTCACGTCTCCCTGAAATTCTCTTTCTTTAAACACCTCACATGAAAAGATCGGTTGCGTGTGAGAGCCACAAAATGTAGGTATTCTACTGAAATAATATAGGAGACGATATACGGAGTAATATACGTGTAGGGAAAGTTATGTAATGCTGCGAAATATCAATTTCGAGATTTGAACGGAAATCTTCGTTTTGGGTTCCCTGATACCGAAAAAGTGTTTTTTTTTTTTTTTTTCCCATCAAAAAGTCCGTGCGTCGTCCCTCCGTGAACACCACTAGCGCCTAATCCAGTCGTGCAATTTTTTTCCCGGTCGATCTGGCTCCACTCGCGGCGCCGCGATTTTGAAATTCTTTCTTTAAAATTTGGGGGTACTTTACACGAAGCCCCCCGGACAATTTCAAAATTTTCTCAAAAACGGCTCCAAATTATTTTCTTTAAATTTCATGTAAGAATAGAGTAAAATACACTTATAAAGGTGGTTTAGGTCCTACTTGAATGGTTAACTCTGAATTTTCGAAGGTAGCAATTTTCTTTTCACGTTTTCCTTTAACTACAAAATTAAAGAAACAGATTTTCCCTTCCAATGCCCGTAGAGGAAGGGGGAGCGGCACGCTCTGGGAGGGAGAGGATGCCCTTTGCGTGCCCTCGCAGGGCGCTGTCCGTTGTGAGCAGCTGCTTCCTCGAGTATCTCCCCGTTCTGAGTGGGGAGGCAAGCGCCGGCAAGACGTGCTGAGCCCCGACTCTGCTGTCTTCCCGGCAATGTTTTCCTACTCACAGAGTCCCCTCCAGTCCTTCGCCAGCAAGAAGCCCACCAGATCCACAGGTATAGGGCGATTTTTATAAGAATGGGTCAAAGTGACAGTTCGCTAAACAAGTTAACATCACGTGTAAATTAGAGAAGTATCCCTCCGCCACGACAGCTGTTTAGTTACGTCCCTTCTTAGTGTCTGTTTACGTCTCCCGCGAAGACATCACTGTACAGAAGTCTAAGAGTTTCGCTTAGTTTTCACAATCATGTCACAAATATATAAGAAATAAATATAAAAAGCAAAGCACGGGACCACGAAACGCTCTTGAACACAGCTCGCCACCTTACAACGCAAAAGTCGCAAAAACGTGCATCGTCACAAGTACGCATGTCACATTGAAGATTCGATTTTAAAACAAACATTATACTTTTCACATAAAAACTAAATTCAATGTAATGTTTCTAAAAAAGAGTTTTTACAGAAGAGCACACAGCTCTCCACTTCCTAATTTCAATTATTTCTCGTGGCGTATTATTTTTTCGTCGGACGAGTATATCACAAAAGGAAGCGTCGCAGTCATTTTCAAGTTGGCCAACTGCAAACGAACGCATGGAGGAAGGAGAGTCTAATCGGCTCTAGGACACAACGACCGCAGAACCTTCAGTTGTGTTGCCAGCACTAGCTCTCAAAACACCCCACTCTTATAAAAATCGCTCTTTAGTCTGTGCGGTCATTCGCGCCTAGGGCTCGTAACGATTGACCAACTGTCCTTATGTTTGCAACCTCGTGTCTTCTTCGATGAACGGCGAGGGTAACACATTTGTGCGGGTTAATTCTAACATCTGTCATTCATAGGGCCCGCTGCGTCGCGTCCGCCATCGCCTGTAGAGATTGTTCGCTGCTCTCTGGCAGCGTACAGTTTTCAACAGCAGGCTCTGACTCAGGCCAGTGCGGAGAGAATTTCCTGGCGCACTATACACACACGACTTTTATTTACATATATTATTGTGGACCCGCAATGCTTCGCTATTGCAGTGTATTACATACTACCAGGGTTCGGATTCTGATGACATATCATTTCATTGGTGCATTCTAAACGTATCTGACTTGTATATGAATGTTTATCACGATATGTAGGTATGATACATATAGGTAGGCTATTAGGGTAATTTTTTTTATCATTTATTCGTATTTTTCAATTTTTAAGTCATTTTTCTATACATTTGCGTCTTTTTTTGCAATTTTTACCCATTTTGTTTCTTTTTCGTGGTTTTTGATATACTAAATGCTTCATGAATTTATAATGACACACTAAAATAAAGATTTTATTGTATCATCAGTTTATGGCAAAACTCACTACTGCAGTTTTCTAACTCTCAAAATTACACGTATCTTCGGTAACTTTCTCGACTTTTCAAAACTGACGTTGGAAGATAGGTTCTAACGATTACATTTCCTCCTAATATACAGATTTTATATTAAGTATAATTTTATATAAATACATTTTAGTATAAATTGTAGAATTCAATGAATAAATAAACACTAGCCTACCCGTGCGAGAACTCTCGCAAGTGGTTATGAAATGTGTTTATTCAATACGCTTCACTTCTGTACATGAGAATGTTGCTCAAACGATGATTGCGTATTGAATATTTTAGCGACCCGACCCCTTAAGTGTAATGTCAAACGGTGTATTGTTTATGTGTAGCTGGACAGTCATGTTCAGACTTCCAGATACCGCCAATAATCGTGAGTCTGGATCGTGAGCGTCTGCAGTTGTCGAAGGACTTACGCTATTCTTTCTATAATTTTAAATTTGATTGCTCTTTTACATTGATTCACATAGTTTTGAAGGCTAGCGGGTTCTGATTTTTCATTTATTTCAAGCTATTTTAATTTAGTTAATTTAAAAAGTTTGTACTTTTTGTTGTGCCATATTTTTCTTTACTACCTCCGCGTACCCGTGAGAGAACACTCGCATGTTAAACCAACCCTACATACTTCCTTAACCTTCTATTGCCATTCTAGGAGGAAAAGTTGTTATTGAAACGTATTTATTTGTTTAAAAACGTATAAAATTAATTTCCATTACACTAACACAATATCAAATAAAAAAAAACAATGCAATTGATGAGGAAAAGAACTTTTCACTAAAACTTTTTTCAGTATTGTCGACAGATTTCTTGGAAAATTCACGACACTTCCTTAAAAATATTTGAAGTAAATATTCAATATTCTTTGACAATATAGCTTTTTGCTTTTCGTAATAGACAAAATATTTTTTTTAAAAACCCTTTTACTCTTGAGAAAGCTACGTGACAGAACACGCTGACTTGAAAGTTCCACCGAATCACTGCTGATATCGAAAATACTAGAACATGGAAAACAAACCAAACCTAACAAGACACGCCTTCACTCTTCCCTGCACACCCACATCCCTCCACAATTAGGTATTACTCGCGCACGTTTCCTTGAGCCTTCGGCTCGCTAGTTGCGAGAGGAGTGGGGGGTTTGTTTTATTTGTTTATTTTCTCACAAAAGGAATTTTACATCAAATTTACTGTTCATTTTTCGAAGCAAAATAGTTTCTAATACATGGGAGCGAATATTTCTGGTTACCAGATTTTGCTTACAACGCTCGTTGTTATCTTTATTCTTAATTCAACTAATGTTGGCAAAGGCGTGGGGGTAAGTATTCCGGAGCTCAAAAAACGTGCGTTTATAACACACAGCACTTGTAAACCTCAGCAAGACATGTTTGCACTACACGAATAAGAAACAATATCTATCGGTATCAAGTTACTATTAATAGTACTTCTAGTTGTTGAGAGAGCGCATCTTGATTTAATAATTATGCAAATAAACCTCAGTCAGTCTGTGCAAACCACAGATTTCACAGAAAATGTAAATAGTATAAGATAGAGGAATCTAAGCCTTCTAAACGTGGTCACAAAGATTGCCATCATCACCAAGGGTAGAAATATAGGTGGTATAGATAGTATCGATACGTGACGAACCCGCAATAATTTAATAGAGTATCCAAGAATATCTCATCCTGAAGATTGTGATGTGAGGATGATGTTTTTAGTTTTTAAAGCTTCTTTTAGGAGTTATTTAAAGATGTATCTGACTGAGTGCAGCGGGTTGCACTTGACATGAATATTTATATGCGTTTTTAAACAAACCCTTCATACTTTTTAAGTCAAAGAGCAATTCGTCACTGGCGCGCAAGAAGCGGCGATGGCTCGGCGCGAGAGGCAGTCGGGCGGCGAGCGGACTGCACGGTTGTGGCCCCGCAGCAAGCTGCCTGTTCCCAACGGCGCGTGGACACACGTTGGGGGCCACACGTGCCCGGATCACGGCGCGGGGGGCCTGCGGTCTGCAATGCAAAGGTCTTGACGTTCTTCAGGGCTCCGCGTTCGCCCCAATTGCGCTTCTACGGAGTCGGGAGTGCTCGTCTACCCATCGTCGTCAGCACCGACGATGGATCAAAACTTTTCAATCGTCGTCAGCACCGACGATTCATTTTTCTCGATGGTTACAGGTAAAATTTGACGGTCACGTTTTCATACGTATTGCATTGTGTCGGGGGCCCCGCGGCATGGTCTAGCCGGACAAGTATTAGTGTAAAGCACATGACCGAGTAAATTCCACAGACCAGAGTTTGAATCTCGGCGCCGAAGAAAAAAAAAGCTGAGCAGTTGTAAGTATAATACTGTGTAACAGTTACAAATTATGATTGCTGCAACTTTAGCTTCTATCAAGCCAAAATACTGGTCTTTTTGGACCTTCAATTTAACTGGCAGCTGAACGTGGTACATGAATAAAATGGGAATGCGCCGAAAAGACCACGGTTCGCGACCCCCAGTTAAACACGAGTATTGATAGCGCAGCAAGCGTCTCGATACCTCCACACCAACTGTCAATGCTTAACGGCGACCTTTGGGTCGCGTGGGAATACACTTTGCCATACGTCATCGGGCGTCGTCATCCGTGAAATGTTAATAAGGCTTCTAGACTCCCCCCCCCCCTTCCTAAAGTTCCTCATCGCCTACTTGATTGTTTGTGCCCTTACTGGTGTTGCAATACGTTTTTCTGCCAGTGTAGTATGAATAAGCCGAAAAAATCACTTTGGCAATTTTCGAAAATTCAGAGTTAATAGTGAAAGACGGGCCCACACCATCTTATAAGTATTGATTACTCTACTCTTTCATGAAGAAAGAAAGAAAAAAAGTTTTGAGACTTTTTTGAGAAAATTTTGAAAATGGCTCTGGTGTTTCACAGACGTATTCCCAAATTTTAAAGAATGTTTTCAAAGGCGTAAACTTCGAGTCGAACTAGATCGACCGAGAAATATCCATTTGGAAAAATATCCTACGTAGCTTCAGGCTAGTGGTGTTTATAGATGGTCGGAGAGACACACAGACGAACGTTTTGAAATTTTTTTTTCTGTATCAGGGGATTCCAAAACGTGTGTATCTGTTGAAATCGATTTTCCGAAGCATTACATAACTTTCTCTATAATAGGTATATTACTCCGTATATACGTACGTATAATTTAAATGTTAAACAATGTAACATTCTACTCATTAGCGAAACATATCCCAAACATCCTTACATTCTGAAACAATGTCCCCGGATACCGCCTTTGGACATCTGAAAGAAAATCTAGCGTTGCTGCACACGGCGATGGTTTCTGGATTTACTTACCAAATAAATTTCTCTTAAGCAAATCATAAAGGCCACTTCAATTAATTGTTGAAGTTAATCTTTAAGGGGAATTGTGAATCTTGACGGTAGATAATTCTGCTCCCAAATTAGGAATCTGACTACACGACTTACATCCTGTATCAGTAAATACATAATCACAATGGGTGACTTCAATTGTACCTAATTTATTGAAGGAATTGATTAATCCGACAACTTTGTGTTGTTTTTTTTGTTGGTAATATGAAGCCAACGATTTTCCCTTTAAAGGCTACTCTCATCCCAAGAAATACTGAAACATGGATAGATATTGTGTCAAATTCACAAAAAGCATATTCTCGTGAACAATTTCCTGTACAGGGAACGAGAAACTTGACCTTATTTTTGTACCATATGATCTAAAGTGTCTCAAATTCACACCGAAAATAACTATAAGCTAACAAAATCAAATCTGTTCCTTACATTGAAAAAACCCGTTGGAGTATACCAGATCCATGATACTGTAACAAGTTTCCTTGTTACAATATCAAGGGTCTGGTATACTCCAACGGTTCTTTTTTTTCGGCGTCAAGATAATTTTTGAAATAAGGTCATGTACAATTTTTGAAAATTTAAGTATTTTTCGCGAAATGTTGCGTAAAATAAAGGAAATTTTTAATTTTTGTTTAAACATTTTTTTCTCATAAACCACACGATTGTTTTTGAAGAAATTATGTTGATGGATATGCTGAAGAACATTTAAGAAAATGGTGCAGTTCTCATGTTGGTTGAATACAGATTTTACAAATGAAAAAATATTCGACGTCTTCCTTCAACTACAATTTTGAAGATACGTTTTTTCTTCATGAAATGTGTTCACACACAGATTTTCAAATAAGGTTATGTTGAGTTTTTCGAAACTACATTTTTATAGTAATCGAGTGTCGAAGTTACGCGCTCGCTCTGAAAATACTGCGCTGCTTTGATCGTAATTTTAGGTGTTTTCGAGGCAGTCGGGTGCTCTATGTGCATAGTATTTCATATTTCTTTGTTCGATTCTTACAATGGGTCTTTTGTTATAGGGTCACCAATTTATCTTTTAGAAATTATTTAAAACACACTTGAAAGAAATGTTAATCGGTTTGTCAGATTCATTTTTCTCGATGGTTACAGGTAAATTTGACGTCACGTGGGTTTCATACGTATTGCATTGTGTCGGGGGCCCCGCGGCATGGTCTAGGCCGGCAGTATTAGATATGTAAAGCACATGCGGAGAAATTCCACAGACAGATTTGAATCTCGCCGCGAAGAAAAAAAAAAGCTGATGCACGTTTAGTATATACTGTGTACAGTGTACCAAATTATGCATTGCTGCCTTTCAGTTCTTCAGCAAAATAACCTTGGGGTTTCCTTTTGGACCTTCAACTTTACTGGCAGCTGAAAGTGGTACATGAATAAAAATGGGAATATTCAGAGTAGAAATGATTTTTTACAAAAATTTCTTTTATATATTACTTTCAATAACATAATAAATGTAATATTTTATGTAAAGAATAACCTCTGCCATACATAATGCTTCTGAGATATTCATACAAGCCTATAAAATTTAGGTGGAAAATTCTGAAAAAATCAGAAACATTTATCAAAGTTCATGAAATGTTTCGTATAAGAATGGGAAAATAATAGACTCTACCTTGGGTCATTTTGAGGCCATGTCATTAAAATACTAACATCTCTCTAATAAATGCAGGAAAATATGTAACATCAGTTGGGAACTTACTTGATAATCGAGTCATAAATAGAAGTCTGAGCTTATTAGTGAATATTCAGAAAAAAAATTAAATATTAAATGCTCCAAAAAAGACCCTAGTTTTGGTATGAAGATTAAAATGTATCAATGACCATCGAATACTTAACTGACACGGCTGTGGAAAAAGTGACAAAGGTTGTGAAACAAATTAAACCTAAGAGGAAATCAGAATAAGTACTCAAGACAACATTACTAGTTGAATGTGTGGCAAAATTTCATTCATTTTGGGCATGTAAATTATACTAAAGTATTATAATTTTTAAACTTAAATTCAATTTTTAAATGATAATTTGAAGTTTTAAATGAAGTGTTTTGAGCATGATCAGCTTTAACAATATTTTCTATTATTTTAGTGTTTCATGAATTAATATAGATATGAAGGGTTCTGTGTTGGGACACCTGAAAAAACCTACAAATTTGTTTTTCTGTAGAATAATTTTTCTTGGTAATTGTTAATGATGGTAACACACAGAATACCCACCTATAATACTTAACACATTCAGACCACAGTCTCTGCTCAATTTTTTTCCACCACAGGTCATAAGATTTTGGGGTTAGGATTTGGGTCATTTGGAGGGTGACTCATCTAAACCAGCACTTTCTAACTGGCACCCAATTGGATGTTTTTAGCAGCCCGCAACTGTTAATTATAAATGTGAAATAATCAACGTCAGAGGTTTACTGAAGGTCTTATATTGTAGAGATCTGTTAGATCTGATTCTGTATAGCAATCCTCTTTGTGTTAACAATACATTCATCTAGAACTATGTGATCTGCAAGTGGATCATTGTGTGAAAGTGTTTTTTCAACTATGACATTTATTAAAAATAAAAAGAGGAGTAGCCTCACTGATTCTACACTTAATACTTAATGAAAATAGTTACAACAGAGCTGACAGTAGACACTGAACAATCGCACAATTCATCTTTTTATTTAATGTTATATTAATTTTCTTATATGTACATTAATCAATACATATGCTGATTAAAAGTCGTATCTAATATATATTTGTTTTAATATAATCTCACTAGTTAGAGTAAAAACATTATCTTAAATTATGGTGCAACCCATGGCCTAACTACAATTTGATAAGTGACACGTAAGATTCCTTTTTTTATTTAAAGAAACTATCTTGTACTTTTGTATCAAGTTCCAACTTTTATGTTTATATGAATAATATAAATGATTTTTTAATACAAATAACACAAAAAAATACGTCCCAAAAAAAGTTTAACCAGTTTATTTTCAATAAATTCTTTCAAATTCGGTTAATATTGGAAGATTAAACATAACATTATGTCCGTGTCTAATACAATAATAAAGAAAACATTACTTTTTCCCAATAATTGGCTTTGGTGTGGTAATTTTGAACAGCGATTCTTAAGCATCACTGCAGAAGTCATGCTCATCAGGGTTTTCCACAATTATTTATTACCAATTAAATGGCAGCAAATAAAATTTAGTGGTGTACTTAGGTACTTCATCGGTGTAGAACCTCCATGAACAGCCAGTAATCAGAAAAATGGTGTATAAAAGCAAATATATAGTATGAATTATAGAGGCACGATAACTTAATGGGACTAATTGGCATCCATATATTCTACTGGCAGCGATCTGAATGCGTGAAATTTTGTTTCCACTAACAAAAATGTATAATTTTTTCTTCCAAATCACTAACCTAGATATAATACAATTTCACAAATTTTCTTAGATATTGTAAATTACTTACCCCAAATTTCAAGTTAATCACAAATGTTTTTGAGAAAAAGTGAATCAAAATTTACATTCTTTGTAAAAATATTACATTCCAGTTGTCAAAAATTTTGAAATTTTCTTTAAAAATAAAAACATTAAAGATGTTTAATAAATGTACTTAATATTATTAGTACGAATTTATTTGTTTAGGAGAAAAAAATGTATTAAATAATTCATTATTTTCTGAACGATAACAATCAATTAATAAAATCGCAAAATTACTTCAAAGATACATTTTCAACTTCACAACCAATGTAAGCAAAATGGCAAGAAGTTAAAAGCAGATTGAGCACCAAGAGTCTATATGCAAGAGAGGCATATCTAATTTTTGCCCCAATGCTAAACCTCTTTTTTTAGACTAATATTACTACATATATACATGAATGACTTTTTAGAAGAAATTAATTTTTCTTCTGCTTAATTGTTCTTTTGACTTCTTTTTCTTATTTGTGTGTGTAAATTTTTGTTACTTCTCATTTTTAACCCCTTTTTATTCCTTCACATTTCCGGTGCTTGTATCAACATATTTTACTCAATTTTACTTGCTTCCATAGTGCAACGATGTTTTTTTCTGAGAGCACACGCAGTCTTTGTTTTCTAAAAATAAATTACTTTTTGTTTCTCTTTCTTTAAAAACAATTGTCAAATGTCCTTTTTCAGTTGTAGCCAGTACACTCGGAGACAGCAAAATTTCACAACTTGGTCATGACATCAGAATCATAACTGTTCTAAAACAAATAAATTCTGCATTAAAATGTGTGGCAAGATGATTTCTCAGTTTTTATTTGAAGATTATTAAAACACACTGAAGTAAAAAAAAAGCAATCATACCAAGTCATCATCCCAAACAACATATCAGATGAAGGAAGACGCATGATAAATTAATTCTGTTATAAGATCAGTCAGCATGGTAAAATTTGGGGCTTAGAGAAGCTACAGCTGATCTTCTCTTATCAGAGAATGGGCTTATACGGTCTCTACTATGATACCTTCTTTCAATCACTTTATCAAAAAAACGACTTAATTTAACTGCAGAACTGGAGCCCGCAGCCAATGAGCGAATCTGCTGACAATCCTGAATTGCACAAACAATTAGCATATGAATATTACAAGGAAAACAATGTAAATATATAGCAACAACATACCAAAAATATTTCATCAGCTCCACATTCTTCTGCAATTGTTGAAGACCTTTGCTGAGAATGGCACCTAACTTGTTCAACAAGATCCAGTTTGGTGCCAATTACCAGAATAGGTATCTTTAAAATTATACACTTCTTAGAATATTGCAGGGTCATAAGTAACAATTATTTTCTAAGGAGAAACAATTATTTTGAAAAAATACCTGAGTAGATCCTACAAACTGTTCAGGATCAAAGTCATCAAAACTAGAGTATCGAGACTTACATCCACTATCCCGATTTAAAATTTCACCAAGCCACTTTTGCAGATTTTGTTGAGATTTTCTATTTGTCAAATCATGAACTAAAATAATACCTAAAGCAATAGAAGATAATTTATTGCCTACCACAGTAGGGTTCAAGGATCTCTATCAAATATTGTCCAGATAATATTACTTTCTTGCTTACCATGAGTAGGATTGTAAAAAACCGATCTAGTATTCCTGTGACTATGACTTCCACCTATATCCCAAAGTTCTATAAAATAGGTTTTTTGGTATGGTGTCCCCTCTTTGTATTCATGGAGTTTCACATCGACAGAACAACCTATGGTCCACGATGGGTTACTTATTGGTTGGTGCTGACATATCAAATGTGTAAGAGAAGATTTTCCTACTCCTGCACAAATTAAAAGAAAAAAGTTTACTACTTTTGTAACATGTTTATTGTCCTCTTTATTAATTAAAAATACTTACCAGAGTCTCCAACAACAATAATTCTCACTTTGTCAATAGCAGCCATAACCTGATATGACCTTATACTCAATGTAATAACTGTTTATGTCACAGCACACTTAGGGAAAACGAGATCACACTGTCATTCGGCGATGTAGTTGATACAAATTTAGATTTCTTAAACGCCAATTTCATAAGCTCACATGGCAATTGACAATGTCATAATCTATCAACACAGCAAAACTAAAACCACTAAAACTACCAATCCATATTTACCAGTCGACCCTATCACCACCGATCACACTGCCCAATCCAAAGAGTATAGCCCAGGGCCTAATCAGACAGACATCAACACACTTCCTTTTGCTCGTGGGCTTTTCCGCCGTTTTCATCAGTTTTCATGTGTAAAGTAATTATAATTGACATAAGTTGGCGACATTGATTGATTAGCGCCAGTTCAAAATTTCCGCTTCAGGTCGATGTACAATATACGGCATACAATGTATTGAAATATAATAATACGCAAAGAAATTACTGATCAAAATTATTGTAATATTTTTAAATTTATTAAACATAAAACATCGTCAAAATTCCACGTGACACATTGTGAGAAGAGGTGTATTCCGTGCACGATTTTTTGAGTACTGGGCTCGACACCCTACCTCATATACATATATGTATCTATAAGAAGTGATCAAATTTGCAAAGAGATGGCGTGCACGTTGGTCTAGCAGCGCCCTCTTTTGTATGACAGGTCATGTCAGTGTTACGCCAGACCTGCGCCAGACTCAGTCGGTGAAAAACCGTCAAAAAACGTGGAAACGTGCAAGCAAGTGAAGGCGGCCGCGTCGACGCCAAAGAGCGCAATATCAGCATCTGGATGAGTTCTAACGGGGCAGAATGGTCGACCTTGGGGAATCAGATTTGTCATCGTATTGCGGCTCGAACGGGGTGAAATGTATATTCCTAACATATTATAAGATAATTTTCGAGTGTTTTTTCAAAGGTTGTGCATCCAGAGCACGAGTCGCCACTGGTTTTTAGTTATAATTGAGTTTTTATAACTTGGCGGATGAGTGTCTGTCTTCATGGTGGTATATCTCACGGCACTTCCCGTCTTTCTCGGTCGTGCCGCTAGATGCCGCATGATCGCGTCTGTATAGAGTAGTGCTGGCGATCATGTGATATCTAGCAGCACAACCGAGAAATATGCAAAACGACGTGAGATATTCCATCGTGAAGACATTCACTCATTCGCCAATAAAAATCCAAGTATATACGATATCGTAGGTATAATGGTGAAAATAACATAAATAATTATTTCCATCATGACATGTATTGTGAAGGGTAGGGGTAGGATTGTGGAGCCTAAGAAAACGGGCACAGATTAGTACTTCTCCCCACACAACACGGTAACTGTACCGCTTATACCTTTAATTTTAACTACACTTGGTGCTCATATAACACTGTGGGATAAGACTCCCAAGCACTCATAGAGGAGACTCATGGCACCAACTGATGTCACTGCAGTGTTTCTGACCGGGAGGTTCGAGGGTTCGTATCCCGACGGTGGCAGGATTTTCGATACTAACTAGAGAGATAGGGCGAATTTAGCCGCTGTCTGGCGAAGAATTCTAGCGGCTGGCTGTTCTGATCGTTATTCAGATGTTTCTATGACCGGTATTAGGCGAATGCCGGAGTAATACTCTCGGGCCAATGGCCGTGCGCAATATTTCCTTCCTCTTCCTTATCCCATCTTTACTCTTACTTACACTACACTAAGGCACATAGCGGGAGGCCGGTTGGGGCGCACCCTGGCGGTGGGAGACACCGTCAGCCCACGGTAGATCGGCGCCGGATCTCTCCATCCGGCGGAGAAAGATCACCGCCACTTCCCACGGGAAAACCGCATTACACTTACCGGACTAATGTCGTTAGCATTTGGGAAGGGAATGGGAGGGGCGGGACTACAATAAAAAAATGCAACCCTCTTTTCACATAACGCGGGTGATGCGAACTGAGTAGGCGAAACGAGCAAGATGGTTTAATAAATGTGTTTGATTAACCATTTGTGATAAATTAAAAATTGTGCAAAATAAATCAAATTCAGGAAACAAACGTAGATATACACCACAGCTTGCGGCGCCGACTCCCAATCTCGGATAAAGCATCTCACACGAGGTCTCACATCAAGTTCCGACCAGTAATCTATGAAATGTTTTGCATTAAACCTGAACACGAAGTAGTTTGAACAGCGTAGCAGCGGCGGCTCCGCTGTGCCGTCGTAGTGTCCACGCAATGAGGTTTGAATGAAAGTGCCTCTCTCCTGTCAAAATACGAAGTACCTCCTACGAACTTTGTAATAAATTTCATTTTCTCTCCTATCAGGAAACGAAGTGCTTTCTAAGAAATTTCTATCAGAAAGTGTCTGTTGGTCGCCTGACAAGAATTTCCTTGCCTCTGATTTTCCCTTCCCTCAAACCTATAACATCCCAGATTCCTCCCTTCTACCCTCAATGGCCAGAAGATATTGCTTCGTGGAAGACTTCCAGGTCAACCACCGCATGATTCTGCTCTGGAAATTACCCTATCTCCATCTCGCTCGATCAGAAAGTTTATACTGGACAAACTACGCAGCTGCGCGTTTAGGTGGTGCCCGAGTTTCTATTTTCTTCTTCGTCGGAATATTTCCTATCTGGCACACTCTCGCAGGCTCGTGCACGTTCGGGAGCGGGGTGGGTTGGAAAGGCGTGGGGCCCGCGCCGGATCCTAGTGAGTGGTGGTGGACGGCCCTTCGCGACTGCAGCTAGGCGGTGGCTCCGCTGTGCTCTCGTAGTATCCATGTGTTCCTGGCGTATTACGCAATATTTACTCATTATTCTATTGTTCTGGTCCTTAAAAATTAACTATAAAAGCAAACATTAGGCTAAGTGTCGCAACCTTTCAGCCTTCGTGGACCCGATACGCGGGCGGCGACGCGGGTCGCACCGTCCGTGTTTCGTCGACTAGAGAACACAAAGTTATTTGATCGTTTCCTACGATGGGAAATCGGGGACCGAGGGCAAGATTCTTGTTTGCGCTGTTCCATACATTCACAAAGAAGAAAAAACCTAAGTGCTAGTTTTGAAAAACAATTACATTTAATGAAAGTTGTGCAATGCACGTGTCTCTGCTACCCTCCTGACCGATCGGTAGCATGCGTATGACTCAATCACCTCACCTCGGCGCGAAGAACGCTTGAGGGATCCCTGTGCCCTCCCAAGCACGAAACAAACAACCAACACACCAACACATAATCAAAACTATTCGTTTCTAATGTATTCAATAATAACACAAAGGCTTATGACGAAGTTCCGTTATTTTCCAAGTCACAAATAGTGATCATGAGTAAGTTGGCTAGATGCGAAAATAGTTACCGTTTCACGTTAACATTAGGATTCGATGTAACATGGCACAATACTCCCCTCCAAAATAATCATATCCATTTAACATGTAAACACATAGATCAGTGCAATCTCCCGCCATCTTAAACTACGGAAAACAGTTCCACAACAAAAAATCACAATTGTGTGCTACCTTGACACGAATCTAAAATCCCCGAACTAAATGTTCTTGTTTTACACCCAAATATAATTTCATCCATAATCCATAGTTTGTTCCTTTATAAGCTTCTTCCTTAAGAACGGGATTAAGTTCCATTTCTTCCACCCACGAACACATAACAGAGTTCCATTTCCTCAATCTCCTCCTCCCTCTGTCACTGATTGCCCCGCAACATCACTTGACTGACGAAATTCCCAAAATCTTTTAACCTACTCCCGTTTTTGCGGCAGTTGACTAAAATCAAAAAACTGATTCGGCGACGTAATAACAAAATAAACCTTCGAGGAGCACTTATCGCAATGTATGGATCAGTGTCTTCCTCCTCCTCCCTGGAATCCCGTCTCACAGGCCGCTCACGCGGGCGGACTCCGCTCCGGCGACTGCAAGAAGCATAAGCGGTCGGGCGCGCAGCTTGGCTCCAGGGCTCGAGGCCGAGAGATGATGTACAGTACGGAAGAGATTAATTTTTAAAAGAAATATTTAAGACAAATAAATTATATTTATATTATTGAAAATCACTTTAAAATGTATACTTATGTACAAGGTCTGTCCCAAAAGTAAGTTGAATGATCTTGCACCGCCGAAGCAAGCCCAGCCCCAATGACGCTGAATAGTTGTGTGGGGTTTAGGAAGCCAAGACAAGAACACACAGTTTCTGCAGCTCTTCCACAGTGCGCATCGCCCTGCTAGTTTAACCCTTGTGTAGGACGCTCCGAATTGAAAATGCCACTTTCAAGACCAGCGTTACGCAATAAAATGTTGTGGTGCGCCCAAAGAAAAAACGGCGCTCAGACCTACCATTGCTAAAGGAAGCTTATTGCGAACACCATGTCCAACAATATGTTTACGCTGCACAAAATGTTTCAGAATGCAGAGAGGACGCCGAGATGAAGCCGCTCGGGCCGCCCGTTCAACGTCCACATTTCGATCAAAAGTGAAGAAAGTGAGACATCTGAAACTCTAATCGACGCCTAATATTAGAATGCTGCAGCATGAGTTTCGTATCCCTAAATACTGTGCATTGCATTGTTACCAAGATTTGGCATGCGGAAAATCCTGTGCGGAGATGGTCCCAGAGTGCTTGCCGATGAAGCAGAAGGCTGCTTCGAGGCAAGATTTCGCCGCTGAACCTGCGTGGACAGTGTGAAAATTGATCCTAATTTTGGATATGTGATTTACGGGTGCCGAAACATGCGGTTTCGAGATGGCCCGGAGAACCCAAAAACCAACTGCTGAGTGTCACACGCCAGCTTCCTCGCCGCCCCAAAAAAGGCAAGTCCCTTTAAAGCCAGCTCATCGTGTTTTCGCACAAAAGAGCATTGTCCACTCAGTTCTGTGCCAGACAAGGACAAACAGTGAAACAGTCATTTTTATTGCAAGATCCTGAAAAAGGCTCCAAAGCAGAGTGAAAACACGCAGAAGAGATCGCCAGCACTTGCCGTCTTCACCATTGACAAACGGCGCCGTCCACAAACCTCCGTCATTATTTAGAGAACTTAGCGAAAAACGCGGTGTGAAACATTTGCCCCAAGCCGGCCGTTTACCAAGCTCCGACTTGGCACCCACTTGCAACCTTCTTTTTTGTTTTCCCGAGGATCCAAGAAGGAAACTCAAGGCCACCCATTTGGACTTTTGGAAAGCTTGTCAAAAAAGAAGCAAAAAACCGACGAGGGGTGCTTGAGGGAAGGTCTCCGTCGGACGCCCCCTTTCCCCAGGTGCGGTTTTTCAGCGGGGACCTGGGGGAAAAAAAAACCCGGGGCTGGGCCGGCAGGTGTTTCCGGGACGGCGGAAGGGAAGCTACTTTGAAGAAAATTTTAGTTACTGGTTGTTATTTATCTTCAATAAATATTTTTTCTTGGACTTATTCAACTTACTTTTGGGACAGACCTTGTAAAAGCAATGATTTCCACTTAGTATATTGCCGTACAAATTCATGTGCCAATTGCCAGTAAAGCTTGGGGGCCAAACAGACCCCATGAATAGTACCTGATTGTAAATTGCAGATATGGTACAAGGGTTACAGCAGCAACATAAATGATAATGTTCTGCAGGCTGTTCTTAATTTCATAACTGATCACGACACTTGCTAAAAAGATAGATTTTTGGAGAACATACTAAAAACTAATTTTAAGGCTAGCATTTATTCTACAAAGACAATTTATTATTAAATAGTAATTCAAATGTTTTAAGACATGTTAACACATTATATCAATTTATTTTACGAGATTATGGAAATTCAGTGAAGATTGAAATATTATGGAGGGGAGTGGGGGGATGATAGCAGACTGGCCCTGGAGGTAAGACCAATAAGACACAGTTGTGCACGAAGCAGAAGACAGGAGTTGGTAAAAATATGAAAGGAAAAATGGGAGAGGAAAGAAACGCTTGTAGAAAGTTGATGGAAAAGTTTTTAATGGTCAAGTTGAAAGGTAAAGGATGACTGAGAGTGGTGTATTATAGTATCACTACATGAACAAATAAGTCCATGTCCAACAAAATGCTAATTTGGAGTCGATGAAGTGAAAATGAAGAACTGAATAAAGTGAATGTAAGAAAGACAGTGGACTGAATTATCCATAAATTAGATCCAGAAAAGAAGAGATTATAAAGGAACTACTAATTTCTTTATTTAATTTGTTTTATTTAAATAGCATTCATTGAATTTGATTTTATTTAGTTTTAATTATCTATAATTTCTTTGACTGGTATTTTTAATGGCTTTTTTTCATGTTCTCTAAAATAGAAAGGATATAAACAACACCACAGTTATATTTCTGTGGTAATCTATGAATACCCTAAAAATAACAAACTATTATCCAAAAAAGAAAATCCGATAAGATATTTTAATTTCATTGTCACTTGCTGAAAAACATTTATATTTGTTGAGGAGTATAAATTATGTTTTCAGGAAAAATACACAGTTTTACTACAGTCTTTTTATTATATAGATACTGTGAGGTATATAACAATTTTCTCAAAGTAACAATATATTCATAAATTAAAACACTGATTGTAATTGTTCTTCAATTCATTAACTATTTTTCTCTCCTTAGAAACACACTGGTTTTTAACAAAGCAACAAAACAATAAAGAATATCAATTATCAACATTTACATATTTCACTCAAGATTATATATACAATGAAGACATATATATATGACACAAACATATATTTATATTAGATCTCCTGCTGGAATAACTTTTAATTACATACTTTATGTGAAATGAGTTCCTCAAACATTAGAAACAATTTTCACTCAGCTGCCATTTACATGAAATGGGCAGAATAAACTTTCTGGAGCTCTGATGTTCAAAGTTTGGGATTAAAGTTCATGAAGAACCATAATATTGGGTATAATTGTAAAAACCTTAAACATATTGGCAAATAACAGTGCAGACCTTTCATACCCTGTGGATGTGATTTACAAAACAAAAATTTATCTGACTCCTTACATCAAATGCACAAGTTTATAAACAATATTTGTAATTTACAAATTAACAATATTTGTAAGTTACTGAACACAAATCTACTTACAACAAATACAAATTGAACGTAAAATTCTATATTTTCACAAAATAATATTGAGATACATATATGACAGTTTTCTTTTATGTAACAGTCATCATGTAAAAATGGGATGAAAAATTTCTGGATTATTAATGACACAGAATTGCCTCTGATATTAATTGTTAAACAATCCTCTCTCACACAACAGACCCACGATGAGAAAATCGGATTGCAAATAAAAATTTATGCAGTCATTCAGCATAATCATAAAAGATTGAAATGTACTTGTGAAAATATTAAGTACATGCCGAGAAGCATCATACACAATTTTTATGAATAAACACCAGCAAATAAAAAATATTTTTTACTAACATATAAATACCTTCCATTTCACACTAAATCAATGGAATACTGCGACATTTCCAGATTTTTGTCCCATTCAGGAATACAATCAAAGACATTTTGTCCGGTGACTATACAATTTATATCACAAACCCAGTTGCAGGTAATAATGCAATTAATAAAGGATTCTATAATATACTATTTTTTCTCTCTCAAAAGTGTAACAGTAACCATGACAGTTTTACAAGTGATTCCGTTAAAACTGTTCCTTCCACATTTTATTAGTTTCTTCGTTATATTATGCTTTGTTTTGAAATTCCAGCATTCAAGAAAATGCTGAATTAGAAATAGAACTGTTAAAATTAGGAATGAGAGGGACAGAGAGAACAGATATAAAAAGTAGCATGTCAAAAAGTTTTGAAATCAATGTTTTTAACTTGCAACCATAATAGCAAGCAGATAGATCTGCCATTATATTAAATGATCAATGAAAGGCAATGCGTAAAGCCTCTTGTCTTTATATAAATATTTCCTAGAAGAATGTCAAAATAAATACAACATTATTTGAGAAGATTTTTATAGCACAACCAACAGGAAATTAGTTTTCTACTCTAAATTTTCTTTTGGCATTACACTTAAATCATAGCAGTTTCTCAGACAAGACTGTGTTTCCACATCTTTTCCACACAATACAACATAGAGGACTCAAAGCTACATACACCACATGTAGTTTACTATTGAAACACATTAAAAATACATTATTGGCTTTAACCTTTGACATAATATACTATTTTTCTATTGCACAGATATTGGACTTAGGACAGATTACACAGAAAAAATACACAAATAACACAATACAAATGCATTACGTTTGAATGCATTTCAAATATATATATATATTACTTTATAAATAACAATACAATCAATTATTTGGATTAGTAAGACATTTCTTTCAGAATACTGACATTGAAATCACTGCAGGGGAATGCTGAAAGTATGAAGCATTCTAAATTGGACTTTCCAAAATAGAAATTACCATTCTAATATTTTGAGAATACGGTCCACAGAGATTTCTACTTAGACCATATTGTTCACTTAAATAGCACATTCAAGTTTTTAAAACTTACTTAGCAAATTTGCAACATATGTTGGTATATCCTATTTTCATAGGAATACTATTTATACTTTTCAATGGGATATATATGGACCATTGAATTTCACCACAAATTAATACATTATGATTTTTATGCTACAGAACATCCAACATTTTACACTAGATGAAATGTGCAGCCCCTATAATTCAATTGCAGGGAATTATAAAAATGTTATCGGGAACAAATAATGTCAATTGTGAAACCTGGAGTGTGGAAACATTAGTTCATATAATAAAAAAATACAAATTCAGACATGTGCGGTGAGAAAATAATTAAACACATAGTAACCAAATGACATAGCTCTAATAAAATGTCACAACCATCCTAATTAAATGTAAACCACAAAATTGCATATCACCATGTTTATCCTGAAATGGACTTCATTCTACAAGCTATTCATTAAACTTCAGAAAAAAAAAATTGTTTATGCTGAAGATTAAAATGCAATGTCCAACAGAGAATGAAAGATTTGTCAGTCACTCAACCACATTTAATAAATACATTTAAGATAAGAACAAACACAATACTAGATATTTTTGTATGCCTTGCACACAAAAAATAATAAAAATTAGTGACACCTGAGAGGGTGATTAAAAATGAGACTGACATCGTAGCAAATTTTTTTGATAAATAATTAGTATCAAAATGGAGGACATATTTTTTTGAGAAACCACAAATGGATTACACAAAGTGCTAACATAAAATGAATCATACTCTATACAAAAGAGATTGCAATGCATGAGAAAATCCAATAATGTGGTGATTAATACCCAAATATTTCATGAAACACTTAAGTAAGGTTTAAAATACCGCGATTTTCTAGTGTATCCTTTAGGGTGTGAAACAACTGTAACTGCTGTTCTGGTTTCAAGCTGAATACCTGGTGAGAATGGAATAAAAAAAGTATTACAATATATTATAAATTTTCTTACACATGTTTTGAAAAATGAAGCCTTAAAAAGAATCCTAAACCACAAAGAGAATCAATGAAAGTAATTTAATGATATTTGAATTTTATTATTATTATCATTATTATTTGTATTATTATTATTATTATTATTATTATTATTATTATTATTATTATTATTATTATTTGCTGTAAGGGAAGTAGGGAAATAGGATGAAAAAGGAAAATGAGCAAATAGGAGTGAGGTTGATGAATTCAATGGATATTCAAATGAATGTCCTATCTGTGTTTTTTATTCATTTTCATTGTAAAGTTTTACAAATCCCTAAAACACAAATGAGAAATTATTTTCTTGAGAGATGAAATGACAACAGCTTTTCCTCTGATTTCTCTGATTAATTTTGTGTTCCAAGGGTGTTCAAATTAAACCACTAATAAAAGTTGGCCATATACACTATTCCTAATTACATTTTTACTGTAGTACTTGTGAACGTTTCTAAATTCACATCACTTTTGTGTTTGTTGATCATTTGTATTCACAACCTATTTAATTAAGGACCAGTAAATATAAAAATGAATTAATTACGCATACTTTTTTTTTTACACCCGCAATCAACACGGAAAATGTGCTGAATATTTTTAAATCTACTTTTGTCATTATAAATTGAAAATTTTGTTGACATTGTTATGTTTTCATTACATTTAAATTATTTTAAATTATTACTTGATATCTGATGATTTAGTTAGCAATGCAAGTTTTGTAATATTTATAATACTATTACCAACAAATAACCAAAGAAAATAACCGTTAAAAATAATAAGAATACGCCCATTTGATAAATTTGTTTCAATATATATACACTGTCACCTAAATTTACTTTTTCGCATATTACTTACACAGAATAGAGAAATTATTATAATGCTGCGGGAAATACACAGATTTTCTTTGACAAAAACTCTTACCGCCAGACCCTAAAAACCAAAACGTGGATAAATCTTATTCCTACATGTAGTAAATTACTTGATCCAACACATGTTGTGGTTGGAATCCATATTTTCTGGGTTTTTGAAATTTTTTTCTGAATTCAAAATTAGATTGATACCAAAAGGTTCTGCTGCCTGTGATCAATGTTAATGCCTAAACTACTAAAGATGATTTACTTCAAAACTGATATTTCCTGATCAATCTAAATGAATTTGAAATGAAATGGATATTTTGATTTATGGGGGGCACATTACATTTAGCCACAATGTAGTTGAAGAATGGCTCTAAAAGAATTCTTAAAAAAGTATTTTTATTATTGATACTAGATTAGTTACATCCAATTGGCTAAGTAATGAAATCCAGTTTATTGTTAAAATCTTTTTTAATTTAAAAATGAATAAAAGTACACTTCGGGGATATGTTTTGTTACGATCAGCAGGTACTACAAAAATAAACATTGAAAAAGCTCAATATTGAAAGTAAAGATTTTTATCTTCATTGAAAAGTGTTCTTCAAAATTAGATCTTTAAATAAGGTCATGTACAATTGTTTGAACAAATAAGTGTTTTTTGCATAATAATCTACTTAAAATTAAAGCAATTTACATAAAAAATAAATAAATACATAAAATAAAATAAAACCCTTTTTCTCAATAATACATTTTCAAATATTGTAAGAAAATATCATTACAAAAAGTGCAATATTTTGAGATAGTGTTTTTTGTTAAAGGAAATTGGTGTTTTTAAGAAGGTCACAGCAATTTTAAAAAAAATGAGTTGTTAAGTGTATTTTTCCAAATTGTGGGACTTGCAAATCCATATCCCCAGACTTTCTGGTAAATTCTTTCAAGAGTTATCATGTGGCAATACTGTAATGGGAAGTGCGTCACAGCAGTTTTGAAATTCTCAGAATAATTTCTCATTATTGGGTGGTGTATCTGGTTGTATGTAATGGAGTTTTGGATTGTGGAGTTAGTGTTCATATATTTGCTTTATGTGAATTAAATTTTCGCACCTAATGCTCCTGCGAGAGGTAATGAGATTTAGAAGTGGTGGCAGAGATCTGTTAATATGGACAGACATTGTGATATTATAAGTTTATGAAACTGTTATGGATGTGAGAAAGTATGTGCTGTTGAAATATCACTAGTTTAAGAAAGTTACCAGAAAGGAGGAGGGGGTTGAAATGGAAGGTTTACATCAGAAATGAATTGGAAAGATATAACAATTTTTTTTCTATCTATCCTCACCTGCTGCAGCAATTTCTGGGGAGATGCTGTGTGAATAAAGCTTGAAATGTATACATTAACAAATGTAGCCATCAGGTACTGGCAATCAAATCTATCCATAATTCCACCATGACCAGGAATTACGTCTCCAAAATCCTATTAAAATGTCATAAAAAATCTCATAATCAAAATTCACTACCCTGAAAACCTATGGAACTTTTTGAGAATGTTAACGTATTTTTCATTCATACCTTTATCTTGAAAGCACGTTTAAAGCCACTAGCAAAAAATCCTCCAAACGGTCCAATAACTGAGCTGAAGATGGACATAGATAGTGAATGCAGGAGGAATGGATACAAAGTAACTGTGCTTTTCATTCCCAACTGTAAAGAAAATGTAATGCAATATAACAATGTCAAATTAAACAAAATAGAATATACTTGAATATAAATACAATTAATTACCAATTGGAGAAGGCCTGAAAGAGATTCAGGCAATGTGTACTCTTGTGGTCGAAACAGCTGAGAAGGTTCACATTCCATGGTCATCTGACCAAGTGTTTCGCTGTATTCAATTGGGCAAACAAAATAGCGATATTGACACATTAAGTAGGATATCTGAAAATATCAAAGCATCATTATTGAAAGAAAGAAAAAAATAAATAAAATTAAGAAGGATTCTAAAACAGAATTAAAATTAGCATTAAACACTGAGGTGACATAGAAATCTTCTATAAAGGTATTTTTCACAATACTCTAGGAAGATGTACTCAAGAAGAATCCGACACTTTTTCAAAAAGAGACTAAGTTTCATACAAAAGTGAAGACATTTGTAGGATTAATACTGACACAGAAGCTAATGAATACTTTTCTACCACAAAAAATTTCTTTACTTTTGTGAAACAATGTTACATATTGCAAATTCTTTAATGTTTAATTTTCAGCATCCTTAAATACTTAATTTTCACCTTATGAATTATCATTTTTAATTATTCAAATGCTCGAGGATTCTTCTACTTTTCATAGCTTTTGCAATTGGATAAATAAACAAACATGTAAAATTCAATACTGTATATATTAAAACAGAATTTAAAAAGAAGTATGTTTTAAAAGAACTTCCCAAATTTAAATCACAAGTATACCCAGCAAGTCTAAGTTGTATTATTATAATACAACTTTATTAACATTATTAAGTCCCATATTAATTATAGATCGTCATCTTTCAAGGTGTCCAAGGCTCTATGTATCATAAAAAATACATACCTCCCTACAAAAACAACAACAACAACAACAACAACAACAACAACAACAACTTGCATGCACCCCCCCCCCACTGACATAGACACATGCAGAACAATTAGAAAAGTATACATTACAAGACAATTGGGCCCAACTGTTATTGTGTGAGGAAACCCTTATAATTGTGAAGTAAAGGATATCACATAATGTGAGAGAGAGTTTTACAGAAGTTCCATAAGGAAGTTGTCAGAAGAATGAACTGAGTTCACCTGGATGTGTGCATGACTGGACGGGGTTGCAAATGAAAGTCACATTAGAAAAGAGATCCAAAAAATTGAGATGTGGAAAATTGTCTTTTACTTCAGATGATAGTGGGGCACAACTGAAAAGTCAGTCCAAACTGAAGAGATTAGGAAACTAAGAAGTACAAGACAGAGTGTGCCATTAGTAGCACCTCTAGTTACTTTCTTGGGGCTGCTTATGCAGTATCCAGAAAGTATTGTAATTATGCAAGAAAAAACAATGATTTTTTGACAAAAACAACAACAACAAACAAACAAACTTATTGGCAGGCCCTGGTAATGAAAAAGTGAATAAATCTTATTTCTATATGTACTCATTACTTCCTCTAACAAGTTGTGTTGTAAGAATTCGTGTTTTGTGGGTCCTTTATACCACAAAATCAACTGACAACAAACGTCTGGGACAAATGCAAGTGCCTTATTTGTTCCTTGATCGATCTAAATGAATTTGAGGCCATGCGAGTCTGAAAATTATATTTTGACTTTCTGGGTTACATTACTACAGCCTCAACACTTTCAACATTTTTTCAAAAAACGGCTCCAAATTTTTGGATTTAACGTTGCCATACAGCTACATTAATACTTCTTAATAGAAACACGAATAAAAGAGCAGGAAAGGAAAGACAGCTTTAGTCATCTTACTCAGTTTGTTGAGCCAATGCCAATGCAACTGAGTCAATGCAATTGGGCTGGTTTTAATAACTCAAATCATTTGAGCTTCCAAATTGCTCTCCATTGTGTACAAAATTGAATAAAAAATTGAAGGGTCTTTGTGAGGTTTTCTAATTTTGGGGTACTCTTTAAAACATTAGTACTGATCAAGCTCTTTGGTAAGTAATTTACCATACTTTACCTAGATAATCCAAAACAACTCTGAATTGAGAAAGTCGATTTTTATTATGAATGTGAACTTGACGCAATAGTAAACAATAGTATATTTACTTCATGAAGAAATTATGCTTCAATTTTAAAATAAATAAACGTGTTTTGGATGCAAGGTCATGAGCAAATCCAGATGGTATCTCAGGAAACTAGCTGGGTTTTATTTCTCTTCAGATACCTTCACCACTTTATTTACGAGCATAGAAATCTTTTGTGGCTTTCTTGTCTAAGGTTACCAGAGACCAGGTACCACCTCATACCTAGGGGTTACTTGAGTAGAAAAAGAAAATCAGGATTGTTGAAAAAAAAAAATTAGGACATAATACAAAAAAGACAGTTCACTTTTTTATAAGCACATACTCGTACAAATACAAAGTTTTTATACTACTATAGAAGAGGGACCAATTTATATGTTAATACTGCACTTTACAGTAAATTAAATGACCATGCACAGCTTTATTATTATGGATTCTTCCTATTTCTGCTTCAATATTCCCAGTAGAAATGTAAGAATAAGATATGCTCATTATTCTTATAGTCAGAAACTTCCAGTTATAACTTACGTTCTTATAGTCAGAAATGCACAAGAATTTTATTTTTGGTTTATTTTGTATTAAAAAATATTAAACAACGAAGTTGATACATATAAAAAAAATTTAAAAACAAATCAAGAATGTCAAGGCAGAATTTAAAAAATCAATACATGGATCTAATGACATTATCAAACCTAGAGTAATATGGTTAAAAATAAAAATTTCAGAACATCTAGTTAACCTACTCATGCCTAATCAATCTAAGCAATTGGGGTATCAAACAGAGAAATTTGTGTAGAGGTGACAAATTGCACTTTCACTTTACAAATATTAATATTTATTTCCAAATGCAACAAAATAATGCAGATGCAAATACATCTGCACAACACTGTTAGTTCTGTTTTTGGATTTTGATTGTGCATAACATGAAAAGGGTACGTCTCGGGGCCATATAAATCTTGTTGTTGATGAAAAAATGCCTTGACTCATATTCCACATGAAGTTATCTACAAAACAAGATCTTTTGGAACCATCTAATACAACTTTGCCGATTTCACTCGGACCCCCACTTGATAGGAAGGGGGGAAGCATGTAGAACCTCAAATTCTATTGAAACACATTTCATTAATACATTTTTCCCTTCATAAGGATGTCGGGGGAAAGATGGAATTGTAGGCTGTTTCCACATACAAGGGTTCTTGCACTGGTAAGCAAGTATAAAAATTAAACTTTCTTAAAATATGGATCTGTTATTGAAATATTGTCCACTTGGGCTGAATAGGAATATTCTTTTGCAATGCGATGCAATCAATATGCGGTGAGCCTGGTATGACTTAAATCATGTAATTTAAATCATGATTTAATCAAACGATTTTTTAAAAAAATAAATGATTTAAATCACTCTTTATTATTGGTAATATTTGAAAATATATTTGGATTTGAATTATAAGTAAAATTAATAAGAAAATTGAGATAAAAAGACTTAATTAATTACAAATTTGATGTAAAGGCTGGATATATTATATAACAAGGATGGATATATAACAATCGATTGAATACATCTTCTTCTTGTTTTGTGGAGGGGGACAGAGAGAAAGGAAAAAGAAGTCTCTTTCTTTTGGGCAAGTTCCACATTTTATTTGGGCAATCCAAATCCCATTTGCATAATAGTTGGATTTGCCCAAATAAAATTTGGGACTTGCCCAAAAGAAAGAGACTTATTTTTCCTTTCTCTGTCCCCCTCCAAAAAACAACAAACAAGATGTATTCAATTGATTGTTTAAGAGCCATTTCCACTATGTAGTTATCTTGTCTGTTCCAGTCTAAGCAAGAGTCCCAGTCATTAGTGTCGAAGATCTCAGCGAAGAACATTCATTATGAAACCACCACAACAAATTATGACATACCAATGGAACATAAAGGTATGCATTATCACGCAACTCAACTGCTTACTCTTCATGGCCAAATTGAATGTGTTAAAGAAGTGCAGAAATGTGATTATGTAGCTAGTTTCATCTATATCTAGGCAATCCAAAAGCAAAGAGCATTTCTCAATGAAGAGAAACCCAAATGAATATATGCTTTAATTTAGCATGCTTCTGCACAAGCAAATAAGACACTGCACCAACAGACCGTATGAGTTGCTTTTTATACATAATAATGCTTCCTAAAACTTTTTTTTAAACCTTGTTTTATAACAGCATCCCCAAGCCCCGGCATTTGATGCCAAAGGAGGATTAACATTAATCTTTGAACATATTAAATCAGTCTAACGCCAGTCAGTCATCACCTTTTATCCCTATTCGCCAGGGACTCAGCACTGTTAGTAACCAGGGTTCCCAGACAGTCTCCGAACCATGAACCCATGGTGAGTAAAGCAACTTAACTTCTGTGAAGTCACAGAAGTTACAAAGTTTGACTACTAGTGATAGCTAGAGAAAACTAAAGAAAATACCAAGACCTGTGCTGTTATGCTTTAGCACTGACAGAAAACTGTTCCTATTTGGACCCTAAATTTCAACCCTTATAAAACTGAGAAATAAAAAGAAACTGTGAACATAATATTCTCCTTATTAACAATTCTCACCTTGTTTGCAATCAATAGCAAAGTAATAAATTTCTTTCAGTTATTTTCCTCAACCCCAACGGTCCTTCCTAGTATTTTCAAAACATTAAAAACGCGTTTTCAAGACCACATTGATAATACTTCTGATGATTGTGACTTACCATCAATCCAAAAATAACTGTTGATATTCCTCCTCCAACAAAACCTTCCCAGGTTTTCTTTGGTGACAGCTGTATAAGAGGAGTTCGGCCAAAGAAAAAGCCAAACACATACGCCATGACATCATTGCAAACTATCATTGAAACTGGAACAATAAACCTGAAAATAAAGTAATATAACATATAAAATACAAAAGTAAAAATTTGATTAAAATATACAAAAATATTCATGAGAGATAAAATTATTATAAAAATGCACATGAATATTTTAAAATTTAGTTGCAGAAAAAACAGTTTTGAAGAAATAATCGAAATAGAAAAGTGGATCACACACACTTCCAAAATTACTATTAGTTTTAAAATTATTAAGCAATTTTATATCCTGAAATTCTAATGCTAAAACAATGAAATGTAGCTTATCAAGTAATTAACTTACCAAATAAGTCCCTCAAAGATATTCTGTATAATAAGGTAGCTCTGAGTAACCACAATCAAGAGAGCTACATGTGTCCAAGCAAACAGAGAAAACTGCTTCATGTAGTACTTTTTGACCAGAGAAAGTACAAACCAAATAAAACCCACCAAATACAGGCAGAATGATATAAATCGGTGATACGTGATCAGTACACGAAGATAATCCTGAAAACAATGTCACAAAATTTATTTTATTAGTAAAACTCTTACACACTACCTTAAATATCCATCCACAATGTTTTTAAAAAACATACCGTACGGCTAATGACAACACCGAAGTAATCAACAAGACTTTCTCCATAGAAGAAATAATTGGATGCAATAAGAAAATACCACGACAAAGATCGAAAATATGGTAAACCATGAATCCGATAAACAGCATAGCCAATATTTATAATCTCTTCAAAACACTTGACTTGAACAACAAGAGTCTGAAATAAAAAAAAAAGGGTACCACATTAAGAAAAATCAAGATAAAATTGTCAGAAATATAATGCACACTTAGACAAAAATATTTGCAATGAGTTCAAAGCTATCAGAAGAATACATTAATGACTCCAAATTCTTAGTTGAAATCAAAATATATGCAAAGAAAGTAGTATTTAATCTCTACAGTTCTCACCTACTTCCTGAAATTTCTTCCTTTTCAAAATAAAAGTAACTTACAAAGCTCTCTCCATCATCTGCATAGCAGTTGAAACATTAAATATTTTAGTTATGTTTTTGCCACACCATTTCTTTATAAAACAAGGAGACAAAACGTACTTGATACCCATTTGTTGAAAGATTTTGATATCGAAAACTTTTAAAGTAGTACCTAAACTTTCAATGTTTACAAAAAAGTGAAGTTTTTCCATGTTCATTTTCAGATTGAAACAGAGATGATCAAAAATATAGTTGCTATGGAGGCAATTACTTGAACAATAAAAGACTGAAAGAATAACCAAGCACTTGAGTGAGAATGAGACTTGAGTGGAACATTTCTTCCCTCACTTTCCACATCCACTTAAATAAGATGATTATTCCGAGATTAAATTAAAACCAAAGAAAGGTAACTGAACTTGCATTTCTTAATGCTATATATTTCAATATATTCAAAAATTATTTTGTAATTGGAATGCCCTGTGGATAAACAGTTGGAGACCACACCACTGAAGTTTGACCACTGAACATATTCATCCACCCAGCACATAATTAAACACATCGTCCACACTAACTGATGTTAAGTTACTTTTAAATGATACCAGAGCAAATATTTAACATTCAGAAAGAAAAAATGGCAAGCAAAAAATATCCCAAGATAAATATCAAGAATTATTCAACATCCTAGTCCTCGACATCATCATCATCATCATCATCATCATCACAAAGGTCTGAAAATTCATGAAAAAACATTTTTAATTATGAACTTTATAATAGGCTAATTATCAAATGTCAAACAAACAGAAATTCAGTGATTTTATATACCATATTAGTGTATATTTGGTGCATTTTGTGCATCATATGAATCATATTTCCATTATATCTAAGTAATTATTCATATTTTATTGCTTTTCAGTTTTTTACATGGCACATTTCTCTTGAAATTTCAATTAATATGCATATTTGTCTCTTCAAAGAGAAAAGCGTACTTGACAAATGTGAATGTGAATGCTATTCATGAGAAATCGTGCGAATGTCTTCCGTTCGTTGTAACAGTATTTGTCTGAACTTCATTTACACAATATGGTGCTGGTACCCGGAAATGATTTGAGCAATCATGAATGATGTGATAATTTGTCTTTGATAAACAAGTTGTGGCATTGGAATTGATACTTTGACGATGATAGAGACAAAATCATTATATTTTACTTTAAAAAATTATCGCTGGGTTACTAAGTCCATAAAAATGCAAAATTAATTGTTAAAATTAAATGTTTTGTAATTGTTCAAGAACATATAAAACTGTTAATTGTTAAGTGGATATTTATTAGTTCTGGCACATATATTACAAATGTTAGAGCATATTTGCATGCATATTTCTCCTTTTGATACAGCATTACCTTCCAAGCCTTAATCACCACTATTGGACTTAACATTGTCATGTGTTATGATGTACTAAAATCCCCTGCCCTCCATTCCACCTCTGCCCTTTGAAACCCTGATGAATGTGCTTCAGCCTCCTCTTCATTGCTGAACCATAGCTGTTCCACAGGAGTTGTACTTGTACTATGGGCCTGTGACCCACCGGCCCATTATGACACATGGAACGGATAAAAGTACACGAGGAAAGTGGTGGGCAGGTGACACACACATAATGACCCATTGACAGAATATTACTTCCCTTCTCCACAGGGAGACCAAATTGCCCTCCCAACTCTTAACATTGGAGGGGAAGGAAAGGTACTATCTATTGGGAGACACACAGTTTGAAAACCCCTGCCACTACACAAAACATTATCATCATGCCAACTCAAACCCTTGACCTGACGAACCGAATTCCCCTCCGAACTTTTGGCCACCAGATGTATCAAAAATTAACCTATAAATATTTTGTACCTTAACTTTTAATATTGAATTGTTTGTACAACTTGTGGCAAAATCCTCTCTTTGTCAAGGATTATAGTCTTTCTCAGAAACATGAATACTCAAATTTCTTTTATACTGATTTCTTTTACATGAAATAAAGAAATAAACAAATTAAAAAATTCTATAATGATATTTTCAATCAAAACAAATTTTTTTAAAGAAATGAAAGAGAACTCAGCAAAACTGTAAAAATATTGTTTTAAGAACAGTACAATAGAACAACAGCTTAAAATACCATAAAATTCTAAAGGAATAAAAAGTGGTGATAAAAAGAAAGTGGAAGCATTAAAAAAAAAAAAAAAAAAAAAAAAATCAATTCACAACAAATGGTCTTGAGGAAAAGTTAAAATGGAAGACCAACACACACGAAAGGAAATGAAACAAGAAATGAAGCCTTCAAATATAGTCATGAAATAGAAAATAAAATTATATACAATAAAAGTACTTACTGTAACCATTAGAGCTAAAGGCCCACCATAAATTAATAATCCAAATCCACCAATCATTAACCATGTGAAAATACCACGTATTATCCAGTTTCGCCATCTGCACAAAAATAAATTATTATTTTATTAGACAGTTTCTGATCAATTACATTGAAAGTTCAGAACAAAGTTACTCAAAGCTAACATTAAAATCATTCAAATATGGATTTTAATTACTTTTTATGGTTTATAATAATAATAATAATAATAATAATAATAATAATAATAATAACAACAATAATATTAATACCAAAATAATAATAATCTTAATAACACAACTAATTAATTACTAATTATTATTTATTATTATTATTATTATTATTATTATTATTATTTATTATTATTTATTATTTAATACTACTACTACATTACATCACTTGGTCACAGATGGAAGTTTTAAGAATGATGTGAGAATATGTTTCCAGTTTCGCATTAATTGTCAACTACCAACTACCAGAATGTGTGCAGATCTTCTCCCCCATACGTCACATAAAGGTTATTCTGTTTTTTGACTAAATAAATCTAAATCTACCATTATGACCAAATAGCTACTTTGCAGAAGTAATGTTACAAATGATGTTCAACTGTTCAAAGACACAACTGTGACCAGATAGTGAAATGTATAATGCCACTGTCACAGAAGGTCTCAATTATCTAAAAGCCTCGAAAGCTCAAGTGGCTAGAGCAATTGGGCATATACCAGGAGATCGGGATAGATTCCTGTTGGTGAATTCAATTCTTTGAACAATGAAACTTCATCTGTAATACAAATAATACTAATAAAAACAATAACAACAATAATAATATGTGAGATAATGAGAATAATATTTTTCTTGTTTTGTTTTGAGGGGGAAATAATCAGCTGAAAATTTACTCCATTACCAAAAATAATTCTTGGATAAAATGGTATCTTCATTTCTTCAATTTAATATTTAAGAAACTTAATTAATCAGTCTTTTTAATTTTTTTTTACAAATATAATTTCACTAGTCACTTCATTTTTAAAACTGTAATAGAATGGAGAAACAAGGAAAAAATAATCTGGAGCATAATTACATTATGTATTTTTTAAATGGTATTTTGTAATTCTAAGAGCCCAATTTGGAAATAATTTTCCTCACAAAAACTGAATAATTGATAGGATGGCCTTTATATTCATACCAACTTGGATTTGAAGAAATTCAATAAACGGGTCTGCCAGAAAGATGACGTAGTTCTTTTGAAGTTTTGAGTCAATAGCCAATCTGGAACTTTTTCTCTACATTTTTTTAAACTTACACTATAATTATAAATACAATAAATGCAAAATCACTCCAGGTTAACAAACACAATTGCAACACAATTCCTATTTTCTACTCAGGATCAAAGCAGCTTGTTAATCTAATGCAAGAATCGAATTAGTTTACAAAATTTATCTTGTATTTAAATCAGTTATTTTTTTCTTTTTCAGAACGAAAGTTTTTAACAGGAACTACTGGAGAAAAGCATTTTCTTTATTGTTCATCTTTATGGTAGTCAGGGAGAGTTTATGGAACAGATTATAACAAAGGGCATTTTAGTGCAAAAATTTTGATTATGTTGTAGGCAAGATTTCTGCAAAAACATTAGTGTATACATACTCAAAAAGTGTACCTCAATTGTCAGTCACAGTGACAATTGGTTACCCATGCTCTTAAAAACAAAAAATCTCATTGCTTGTTTTCTACACACGACTTATGAACACGGCAACTGAAAATCATTTAAATTAACTCACCACAAATTTTAACCTTGGTCCCTGACCCTCCCCTCTAAGTTGTAGAGTGGCTTATTGTCATGAAGCACATTGGGCAAGTTGATTTTGATGATTGATGCAATAAATATACTGGCATCTTGAGGAAATCGAGCACTAAACTGAGGTTCTCTTCCCAGATGAAAACAACTACCAGCAAAAAGCTGGTAATACATGTTTGGTTTTTGAATTATTTGTGTAGCCCCAACATTTTCTAAAAGTAACAATTAACATTTTTATACTTATGTGTTACAATTTACAATTTAAAAATATGTTAACTTGTTCATCAAATTTAAATCTTAACTTTACAAATTACTTTACAGAGCATTGAAAGGATGCATGAAACAAAATTCCAAGTTCCCCTAAAGGTGGACACAACCATCCTCACAAATGGAAGGAAATGTAAATTACATATGACTTTAATACAACATGACGCTTTGAACAGAGTGAGAACAAAAAACTATTGAGAAATCCATGTTCAGTTCTCTGACATAAATAAATATTTATGTAATAAGAAATGAAGGTAATAGATACAATAACAGGTAAAAGAAATTGGGAATAATAAAAATATGTTAAAATGGCATATTGGAATTGTATACTGCGGGGACTAAAAAATGTCAAACATCATGCAACAAAGCGAGTTAGATATTATCAAACACAATCTAAATGTATTTTTCTTATTTTGATTTTATCAATTCAGAAAATCATGTTGGGCTTAAGGCTGAAAATAATTTAGTTTTATAATAATAATAATAGTAATAACATTAATATTATTATTATTATTATTATTATAATATTTTAAAAGTATAATTAAATACACTAGTTTAAAAATATTTTAATTTACACAAAAGTAACATAATTTTTATTAATATATTACTAGCATACCCATGCGAGACCTCTTACATGTTAATCCCCACCATTTCTCTACCCTTTCCATAAAGAAGGAAAGTTGTAAATGAAACATGTTTATTAAAAAAAAAAATCTTCTGAATATCAAACAAAAATAAAAACAATGCAATTGATGTTGGAAACAAATTTTCAATAACGGTTTATTCAGATTTTGTTCTTCGTACAGTAATTATTCAATCTTCCTTGACAGTTAGGTTTTCGCTTTTCTTGATGGTCACAAAAATATTAAAAAAGCTTTTTACTCTTGAGAAAGTCTCATGACAGAACACACCGACTAGAAAGTTTCACAGAATCACTGCTGATAACAAAAGTACTGGTACAGGGGAAACATAAACGAAACCTAACAAGACAGTCTTCACTCTTTAATGTACACCCACATCCCTCCACAAGCAGATATCCAGCACTTATAGACCTTGGCAAAACATTAAATGAATGTTTTCAACACACGTATAAGAAACAATCTTCATCAGTATCAAGCAACTATTAATAGTACATTTAATTGTTGCTGTGAGAGCGAATCTTGAATTAATAATTATGCAAATAAACCTCATCAGTCTGCGCAAACCATGGTTTAAACAGAAAGCATAAATAATATAAGATAGAGGAATTTAAGCCTTCTAAGCAAAACGTCACTGAGATGACTACCAACACCAAGAATTGACATATAGGTGGCATTGGTAGCATTGATAAGTACTCAACCAGCAAAAATAGAATGTCCAAAAATATTTCATCCTCTACATTACAAGGTGAGAAACGTTTCTTTGAGGCCTTTGGACGCAAAATTAAAGTTTTTAAGGCCCTAAGACGCTTCGTTTAGGAGTTATTTATGGATTTAGCTCATTGAGTGCTGCAAGTTGCATTTGACATGATTATTTGCATGCATTTTTTTAAAAATCTGTTATATTTTTAAAGTCAAAATGCAATTCGTCACGTCTTCGTGACATTCTCTTTGTTTGAAGACATCATTTATAAAGATAGGTTGTGGGTGAGAGACGCAAAAGGTATGTATACCACTGAAATGAGAAAGAAGATTAACATTTAAATGTTAAAATCATAATTAAAATAAAATACCACTCATTTGAAGTATTCTATGATCTACATTAATTATTGCATGTGCTAGAGGTAAAGACTGAAATATGGCTAATACTAGAAGAACCTGATTGATCCCACATTAGCCACACTATGAATAAAGCTGAAGATGATCAGTTTATTTCGGACTTCATCCAGCTAATCTTGGTACCAAAACACAGAGCTCTGGCTGATGTTCGTGATTGTTCAAGTGTACGTTGTCTTGTGTGTGGCAAGAATAAAAACGCGATCGGCAGCCTTAAATAAAATATTTTATGTAAATCGCGAAATTTGATGGCGCCTATACATTTCGCAAATGCTCAACTGAAGAATAGAGGTTTGATTGTATAATGTAAATATGAATGTATAAATTACACAGTAGAACTCGAAGCTAAACAACTTGTCTCTCATTAGCCTCACCTCGATGGGCGCAACCGGCAATATTTTTTGGGAGTGTTTCAATAGATAAAATACAGATTACCGGGGAGTCCCCTCCAATATACCCAACCATAAAAATAGCGGAGCACGTATGCCGCGGCCCAATAGCGGTCTGCTCCCATTTTATCACATCTGCTTTTCCGTCACATACTTTCACGCATCCTAGCCATCTCGCGATGGCTAATTTCAACTTCGTCCGGCCTAATTAGCCTCGCGTTGGCTAATTTCAGCTTCCAAGACGTATCTACATTGGACTTTAGGCTCCCGTTTTGGATAATGTGAAGATTCGGCTCATTCGGTGATTATTCAGAATTCTACATCCTAATATGCATCTTACATTAATTCATTAATGAAAGCACAATCCTTTGTTTTTGGAAATGCTCTGAACGCCCTGTCGAAAAGCGTCACCTATTGCATGCAAAATTATTAATTAAGCATTGTTTAAGACACCTGTAACATACAGAGCCCATGGAAACATAATGAAGTAGATATTCCCCATCTTCTACACACGATCGAGATGACAAGAGAACTGAAAGTCTATAGAACTGTTGCTCTGGCAATTAAACAGACGTCATCGGAGAAGGAGTTGGTAAATCAGGTTGGAGTACTTATGACCTCTGCTATGGTTATCAATACAAATGACATTGTCGCCCTCTAATCTGATCTTAACGCTGCAATAAAGCGTACTTTGGAATTTCAGATCTGTGATTCAAGGACTCTCGACTGTTTTCATAAGCAGTTATGATTGAAATAAAACGAGCACACTCACAGTCTATCCTCTTAAAGTAGTTTCAGCTATTCTTTGGCCTTCATTATTATACACCTCTCTTCGAGCCACTGCTACACTTTTTGTTTATTGGGTTTGGTGATATTTGAAG